CGAACGGGACGATGACGCAGATCATTTGAAACTCACCATTGGAGCAGATTTACACTATACTGTATATATTATTGCTTCTTGTTTGTATTTCATAGTCAAATGCAGTCGATATTGGATGACGCTACCATGTTTGGATCTGCTTTTACTAGAAAACAGCAGCCTATTGCGACTTACGACCGCAAGATGGAGCTAAGGCGCGAGACCTTCAACGAGCAGTCAAATGGCAACTGTCCCTCCGAATCTGGCAATGATTCAAGCCCAAACACAGTGACCCCAGCAACTTTTGGGGCTGAACCCAAGAAATGACTCGCAACTGCGATTTAGCCGGTAATGCAAGACATGACAGTAACATCAGCGGCCGCAAGACACAAAAAGGTAATCATTTCCTCGGAGGACTGAAGAGGCAGTTTCTAGGTCCGTGTATCGCAATGTCTTCCAAACAGTGTCATTCCAATATCATGTCAAGTATTACGCAGTTAGTCCACTTGAGATATTGCGATAGTACGGTATTCGTTCCTTGTTTGTTGACGCCGGGCCGTCTCCAGCAAATAGGACGCGCTAGCTATTCTCAAATTATTTTTTTTGGCTGTATCCCATTGTCTCACCATCTTGTTATGTTTGTGCTTGATTTTACTGACCGTCTTGCAACTGCTTTTCACCACCAACTGTCGGCATCCATCATTGTGTATTTTCGACGACTAGCTAGCGTAGTCTTTTCGCTGTTGGTACAGTACCGCGCATAGTGAAGAGAAATGATAGGCAAACAGTATGATCTTACTTCTATGATGCGGTAGGGCGTGGGGATGAGGCGGCCGCATGTGCCGGTAGTGTCACCATCCCCAGCAAACCTCTGTTTCGAGCATGACCCCCCATCCGATATGGCCGCACGAAGGAAAAATTTCAAAGAGCTAACAAATGGATTCGCCCGCTGCATATTCTTATCAATAACTGCACTTTGAATATCCAAACAGTTGCTCGGGTGTTGCTGGAACGGACCAGCTAATCTCGGGTGTCTCTGGTACCATCGGAATGGGCCAGTTCATCTGCCCATCGGGTAACACCGATACAGGCCATTCTATCTGCCTGTCGCGTGCCATTTGTGCCACGGATACCACCGGGGCCATTGAGATGGGCCAGTCTAGTCTCGCGGGTGCCACTAGTCTGCACCAGTCTTTCTGCCTTCCGGGTACGACTGGGATAGGCAGGTCCATCTGTGCGCCACTGTAACTCGAAAAAGACAGCGCTTTGGCGCACAAGTTTGCCACCTGGTACAGATCGCTAGACTGTAGCGCGACGCGGAGCTTCTCCCACGTCGCAATCATGTGGCGGATGCACTGTTCGGTGTCCTCTCGGCTCTGACGCAGACTCAAGAGCTTGCGTTCTGCAGCCTCCTTTTCTTCTCTCACGACTGCTATCTGCGCTTTCAGATCAGCCTCGTGAATCTTGGATTTCAGCCGGTGCTTTTGTTGCGCGATACGGTTGCTCTCTCTCCGCGAGGCTACCTTCTCTAGCTCAATATCGAGGTCGCTCATAGTGACGCATTAGTAAGGGTTCGCAATATGACAAGCAAATCATTAGATTGCAGTCGAGGGAAATTTTTGATAGTATAGCAATAGAAAAAGACGTCTCTCATCATTTCACGCAAATCGGCTTGGTATATATACATGGTCCTAGGACACATGCACGCAAGGTGATGCAGATCATAATGCAGAAGGAACAAAAATTGTGACAAACTGGTTTGCTTCAGCAACTTGCACCAGGAGTGGCTGTATGAGCACAGGGGGTGTTTAACCTCATTCTCCACGCCTATCCCGGCCCCCCCAGCTCGTTCAAGCTTTCCTTACAGTATTCCTGTAATGTTGTAGTTCCTTATTCTCTTCATTAAAAAATAGACGCAAAATTACCGACAAAATCGGCAGCAGATGGCAGCCAATATGCGTCTTTCTCCAACTACCCGTCCTCACTTCCTAATCAGACATTCATCGCAACGTAATCATAACATCCAATTCGTTAAGGCTATGTTTAGTGCTCAATAGATTGTGCCTTAACAGCGATAGAACTTGTATTGTTCCCACGAACGCCTAACTTATATATACGAAGGCTAGTGGCGTGCCAACAATCCTAATAAAGCTGCAAGATCTGTGAGAGATGGACGATTACCGTCTGCGAGGGCAAGCTTAGGTGGCGGCTCAGACGTAATGATGAATATATTCTGTATCCAGCGTCCAAAGCCCGTTGTTTCACCAGGCAGCTCAGCATCGGTCCGACCACAGACGCAAGCTCTTCTTTGCGTGGACGTGAAGAGAGCTGTCTTGGCAATGCTGCCCTGCTTCGTCAAGGCAGCACGAGCAGCCGAGACGTCCGGCGAACAGTCCAAATGGCTACTGTTTCTCCGTGTCTGGCGACAAGCCAAGCACCAGGCACGGAAAGTCCCGGCGAGCGACAGCGGCGAATTGAAAGCCGACTCATAGCCGCAATTGAGCAGGTAGTGCAGGACGTGGCAGTTTCCGGGGCCGCAAGGCCTGACAACGCCCCCCGGCGGGGCGAAAGCACAACACCCAACCCTTCGTGTAGCACTGCTCTTCGGGCTATTTTGTTTTGTCTACTCCCATGTCGCATATTACGCAGATGACTCAACCGAAGTACTGTTGCGTCGTGTGTGGACGAACCAAAGCAGAAGGCATAAGTACAGTACTTGGCCAGGAGGTAGACTGTTCCTTGGCCTCCGCCCCAGCTCTTGCACGCCTCAGTTTTCGGTTCCGCTATCTGCTTCCCAAGACTCGCGATGCACCCGATGCACCGATTACTCAAGTCGGTTGTGAGAATGTTCCACGACACTCGGTCTATTGTTGTCGTCGATTTGATTCTGCATCATCATGGAAAGATCAAGCTTCACGAAGCCCTGAATGTCCTACCATTCTCGTGGAATGAGCTACAAAATACTATACGACTTTTGGTCATGGAGGGCTATCTGCGTCTCGATCCGGACGAGCTTGACATGGCCTATATCCGCGAGCACGGCCTCGTTTATGCTAGCTATGGCTCTACACTGAGCTTCATCGCGGCAAAGCTCGAGGCATCCGGGGCACTGGTAAACGAAATACTGCACAAGGACCCTCAGATATTTTCGTGTCCACGATGTCACAAGGGCTGCGGAGCGCTTGACGCTTGGCCAGAAGGCGGCACGATCATGACGTGTCCGGGCTGCGGGGCTGCCCTTTCTCTTGTGCCCGCAAATGAGCTGGAACGACAGGAACAGCACAAAGAAGAACTTTGTATGGATAGGAGAGTTTTAGCAGATCTGCTGAAAGCCGCCCAGCTGTCGCCGCTGGCTGAGCCGCACGTCCCGGGAGCCCACAATGAAACTACATAGTGATAATTTGATCAGGACTAGAGGACTATTCTGACTGACGGACGTGACTGTCACGACAACACCGGGCTTCCGTCAGACATGATTCATCTAAGCTATGAACAAGTAAGCCCCTGCTTCGAGGGTGATAGATGCTGTGCAGGATGTACTGGTACGTGGCAACCATGAAAAGTAAGACGATCATTGTCATGCCGTGCGCAACGCAGGGCGCGCCGCCATCTCCGTCACGAACCCCGAAGAAAAGACCAGAAAGACATATGAGCATGATATAGATCCCCGTAAATGTCTGGTGAATCGCTATCGGATAGAGGATGCCGCCATAAGCTAGAGCCTTGCCAGCCGCCCCCGATCGGGCCGCCTCGCAGCGAATCGAATAGCGCTGCGTTAGCCAGATAAGAGCAAAAGACAGTACGACGAAGACGCAGATCAAAGGGGCGATAATACAGTAGACCAGCCCTATGCAGGCCAAGGTGGTGAGGACGGGCATATCGCATGCCAATGTGGTGATATCCATCTCGTCGTCGATCGGCCCGTCGGCACGCTTTCTCACCTTGTGCCAGAGAAAGAGCAGCAGTCTCTCGACCTGCAGCATATTTCCAGCACTTCTGGAAAGTGATTGCATGATAAGGTACGAGAAGAAATAGTTGGCGGCACTCGGTAAGTTCTGCGCAAAGAGTGCAAAGATCGCCCCGACGGACTGCAGCTCCCGGAGGTTTCTCAAGTACTGCGGTATGGAGGAGGTGAAGAAGGAAGCCAGTGAGACAACCATGACCATCTGAATGAAGAGAAACACGAAGTACAGTTTCTGGACGAGCTCTGCTCTGTGGGACCGCAGTTTCACTCCGCGAACCTGCGTCAGCCACCTCAGAATGACGGGCAGAATATGCAAGAGGAGCGAAAGCGCTAGCCCAGGCGTGATGCCTGCGACCGCGGCTAAGAATTTGTGCAGCGCGTCGTGTCGATTTACAAATGAAAGCCACGGTTGCGTGCGGATCAGGGTGTCAATCTGACCCAGCGCCGCTGTCGAGGCAACAGGGACAGCCCATAACACTATCATGGCGCTGAGCGTCAGGTTGACGACGGTGCTCCTGATGCTCTGTCTCGCCCACGCGGCACGGAGATTGCGCTTGATAACGTCGTCTTCCGAAACGACCACGAGGGGAAAACAGTCATCCATTTTGTCCTTCAACGCCATACTCGCCGCGATGGGTGGCGCAAGAGGGCTGTGGAACTCCAGCAGCACAGAGTGCGTGCTTGGAAGGTCCTCCGTCTTGTCGCTATAGGGAACTGTGCCCTTCTCCCCGTCCGTGTCAAAGACGTGCGCGTTGCAGAGACCGCCAGGCAGCCTGTTGTAAAACTCCATCATCTCGGCTGTGCTCCCTAGCGAGCTGGGCCAAGGCGAAATTAGGACAAAGACCATGTTTTGGCGGAGGAACTCTTGCCGATAGATAGCATACTCCCTCAGCTCTTCAAAGACCACGCGACAGAAATGCATAATCACGAAAACAGACATGACGACATGAGCGGCGTATCTTGATGTTTCAGAAGCTCTGATGTTTCCGAACGCCAATGTGTCCAGACCTATGACGGTGTCGGTAGCCTGGGTTCGGGAAGAATCCGGACGCGTCATGTCCTGACCCTTGCCGCCAACATAGTTGAGTACGAGCAATACAGGCATGGCGATCAGGAAGATGGGCTCGAAAATGCGCCCTATGGTCTTGAGATACCGTAGCATGAAGTAGACATCTACATTGTCTTTCTTCATGGTGTCGTCGTTGTCCTCGGGCTTTCGGTATCTCCAGGCGTCGGCCCAGAGACTGCGCAGCTCTGTGGCCCGTGACTGGCTGCTTCCACTGTTTGGTCAGCGCCGGTTCTCTGTGTCACAGTGCTTGAAAAACTTACTAAACTGACCCCAGGGTTTTATTTTTTCGCAGAAAGAGAAATAGAGCAATCTGAGCTGTGAAAGAGAAGCACGCCACGGATAAAGCGGCCAGAAACCCTGTCGCACCAATACCGCGCTGAGATTGCGCAGCCCCAGGAACTTGATCAACGCGAGGGGAATGAGACATGGCTGATACCTACAAAGCGGTGCTGCAGCGTGAACCCCTCATTATCTACCAGAACTACGGGCCCTGGATTAGCCTCTCCCGTATCTCGGCTCTGCCGCACTCTCCTACGGTAAGAATCGGAGTCTTGCCTCTTTTCAGCGCCGCGAATACCTCAAATAGCTCGCGCAGTGAGTGAAAATGAACTGAACCCTGGTACTCTTGACCGACCAGCCTGCCGACTGTGTCCAGAATAGCCCTTTCATCAGAGAACCAATACAGCGCAGTGTCTTCGCATTTCAGTGATTGATTTCTGCACCTGAGAAGATCCAAAGACTCAAAAACTCCGCTGTCCGTGCAGATAATCGTGAGTCGCGAGGGCCATGCTGCGTAGATGTGGGTTGGTAGCCAAAATGGCCCAGAGACCCACGTTCCTGGCGCAATCGGGGCTTCGCGAGCGAGCACATGTTTGTTCTCCGAAGCCGCAGCCACTCGCGTTGGCTTTCCATCCACCAGATAATAGTAGCACCCGGGCTTTTCAGTAGTCTGAGGATCCTGCACCGCAATGAGCCCGTCATCAGCTATGGCGATAGCTCGAGCTGGTGGCTTCTTCCGTCTTCTCAAAAAGACCGCAGATACGACAAGTCCGAGGCAAAGTGGCCCTGTGAAGATAGACCTCGTCTTCCACGTATGCAGCGTGATGCTTGCTACAAGGAGAGATGTGAAGACAAACGTGGCAGTAGCAAAATTCGCATGGCGAAAATTACCCAACCTCTTGTGTCGATCATGTAGACCGTGCAACAACGTGGCGTAGAGGGGAACTGCTGCCTGTAGCATGAGATTAGTCACAGGCGGGGCACACAAATAAATGGCTACTTGCACTTAGCCCAGTCAAGGTCTGCATGGATACGTCTAGCATTCGATTAGCCCTTCCCTGCTGTTCTGTCGTTCTGTCATTGCAGCTTACTGATATTGACTGAGAGCATTGCATAAGCAAGCACGTGGATGAGAACTTCATACCACACTATCCAGCCATACAAATGATGGGCCCATGTCGTTTGAGGCGTGGTCTGTCGAGCAATTATTTCCATGACGTCCGGACAAGCAACAAGAACCAGACAGATGAGATTGATGCAGGCTAGCTGGCCTGATCTCCTGAGCAGAGCGTGCGTGTCCGAGAGGATGGACAGTGCCAGCACGTTCTGTGCAACCAAGATAGAGCCAACCAAGGCTCGCAACACCCGCGGGGGAGCAAATCCACTGATGTCGGCTTTGTCAAGCGTATGCATGTTCTCTAGGAGCAAAGTGCATTTATCGTGGATGTGAGACAAGGCTGTTTTCCCGTTGCGGGGGCTTCGCCGCTTCAGCCGAACTTGAATCGTTCGATCCAAAAGCAGACGAAGAACGGGCAAACGGGCAAAGCACAGCCATAGTGCGAGGTTCAGAAGCTGGACAATGAGCCAGATCAGTACAAACTCCATAGCGCGGGAGTCAGCATGGGGCTAGCTGCACATGATGTACTTCTACAAAAGAGCCGAGTAAGCCAAAAATAGTGAGACGTTCTAAGAAAAGTCATGTATGCTCTCATATACATCTATAGTGCGCAATAGTACAGTACAGTACACAGTCTCTTGTTCTCCATATAGTTACATCAATTGACGGCGTGATGCTGCAGATGGTCATTCATTCAAGAAACAACATGGGGAGTGAAGCTGTGCCGATACGTACCGCAAGCTCTGCGTGGCTCAAAGATGTCGGAACACAACTACATATGAGGGTGAGAGACAACAACTACAGATGATGACAGATACACGAAATGGGAGATTGTCAAATTGAATGTGCGCCACGATTACTTAGTGTAGACATGACGGAAGTAGAGTACCGGTATACCTGTTACAGCGATACAGTACACTACATGATCATACAGTAAGAGTCTGTTTCTGTCGTTAGCGTTGTAACGAGTTTTTCGGTGTAGGCGTAGTTACCAGTGGCGCTGATCAGTGCTTGGCCAAAGTGTTTCCGTAGACGTAGCGCACCGTACGAGTGCTCACCAGTCAGCGGCCATAGATGATGGCTGGAATTATCCAGGGAAACCCACGAGACACATGTCAGTCTGCATAGTACAATGAGTGACTATGAGCCTTCAGAACCTGGAGAATTACCATCAATCGTATTCTCGAGAGTAGCCTAGGTAATCTACCGCTATGTTTACATGTGTGACGGACACAATACCGGTAAGCCATTTCTTGCCTGGATTTGAATGTGGTTCTATCAAACCAGCCCAGTAAAAGCCAAATTAGGACTAGACTTCCCAAAGCCGTACTGATTAGAAAGTTGGGATAACTAGCGTAAAAACCGTTATGGG